CTGTTATCAACAAGGGGGTCTGAATGAAGCATATTTGTATACCTAACCCTTAACTGTACCCCACTATATCAAAATAAAAAATATCAATTAAAAAAAAAGATTGCATGCTTAAAATAGCTTATTATGGGGAGCAAAATGTAAAGCCTCTCCTCTCTATTCCTTACCAAATCCTCAGTGAATGAATGAATACAGGAGAGGGGACAAGGGGGCAGCTCTGATCTGTGTAATACACTGTATTGCAATGGTGTGTTTACTTTCTGTTGGTCAAAAGTTTCAATTACTTAAGAATAGGAATAATGTTTATCTCAGCATATTATATGGCTAGTACTGTGTCGGATGAATAGTACTATTTTTGCATGGATAATTTCAAAACAGAATCCTGATTTTTAGACCAACCTCTAGTCACTGAAATTTCGTATTTTCTCAGAACGTAGAAACAGCCTATTATTAGGGTAAAAAAAATCATAGTCAAGGGGCTACTCTGACTCCCCTCACCCTTCCCTCCAAAACTGACCCAGGTTTTCTGACTTCTAAATGAATTTTGTAAAGAATGAATGTGGTCTGATTCCTTTTTCCTTACCTAGAAAGTAATGTGATAAATAAGTTTCAGTATCATTGAATTTAAAAAGTGCGATTAGTAAAAGCCATCTATGAGAAACCCACAGCTAGCATACTCCTAAACGGACAAAAATTGGAACCATTTCCCCTGAAAACTGGAACAAGACAAGGATGTCCACTCTCACCCCTCCTGTTCAATATAGTTTTGGAAGTCCTGGCTAGAGCAATCAGAGAAGAGAAGGCAATCAGGGGTATCCAAACAGGAAAAGAGGAAATCAAGTTATCTCTCTTTGCAGATGACATGGTCGTGTACCTTGAAAACCCAAGAGAATCTGTCAAAAACCTCCTTACACTGATAAAGGACTTTGGCAAAGTCTCAGGATATAAAATAAATGTACAAAAGACAATCGCATTTCTTTACACCAATAATAAACAAACAGAAATCCAAATAAAAAGCACAATTCCATTCACAATAGCCACAAAAAAAAAAAAGGGAAATACCTTGGCATCTTCCTAACCAGAGAGGTTAAAGACCTTTACAATGAAAACTACAAAACAGTGCTCAAAGAAATCAAAGATGACACAAACAAGTGGAAAAATATCCCAAGCTCATGGATTAGAAGAATCAACATTGTGAAGATGTCCATCCTACCTAAGGCAATCTACAGATTTAATGCAATACCCATCAAATTACCAGCAACATTCTTCTCAGAGCTAGAAAAGACAACACAGGAATTCATATGGAAACACAAACGACCAAGAATACCCAGAACAATCTTCAGCAAAAAAAACAAAGCAGGCAGTATTACATTACCAGACTTCAAACTTTACTATAAAGCTACAATCATCAAAACAGCTTGATACTGGTACAAAAACAGGCATATAGACCAATGGAATAGAATTGAGATTCCAGAAGCGAAATCTCAATTTCTCAACCAACTCATCTTCGACAAAGCCTCCACCACCTACCCCTGGGGAGAGGAGAACCTATTCAGTAAATGGTGTTGGGAAAACTGGCTGACCACATGCAGAAGACTCAAACAAGACCCCTATCTGTCCCCATACACAACAATTAACTCTAAATGGATCAGAGACCTAAGTGTAAAACCTCAAACCATAAGAACCTGAGAAAATGCAGGGCATACCCTTTTGGAAATTGGAACTGGAATCCAATTCCTGAACAAAACCCGAAAGCCACAGGCCATAAGAGGTAAGATAGACAAGTGGGACCTCATTAAAATGACAAGCTTCTACAAAGTCAAAGAAACCATCAAGAGAGCAGGGAGACAACCTACAGACTGGGAAAAAGTATTTGCCAACTCCAGGTTTGACAAACGCTTAACATCTTGGATCTACAAGGAACTCAAACATGCTGGAAAAAAAAAACAAACCTGTTATAAAATGGGCAAAAGATATGAACAGACACTTCATAAAGGAAGACATCTGAGCAGTCAACAGATGCATGAAGAAATGTACAACCTCACTAATCATCAGGGAGATGCAAATCAAAACCACACTGAGATACCACCTAACTTCAGTCAGAATGGCAATTATCAATAACAAAAAATAACAGTTGCTGGAGAGGGTGTGGTGAAAAGGGAACACTTCTACATTGTTGGTGGGAGTGTAAACTAGTGCAACCTCTGTGGATAGCAGTGTGGCGATTCCTAAAAGCTCTAAATATCAACCTCCCATATGAACCCGCAATCCCCCTACTGGGAATATACCCTGAAGAACTCAAATCACTCCATAAAAAAGAAACCTGCACACGTATGTTTATCGCAGCATTGTTCACAATAGCAAGAACCTGGAAGCAACCATGCTGTACGTCAAAAGAGGACTGGATTAAAAAAATGTGGTACATATACATGATGGAATACTACGCAGTCATAAAAGGAACAAAATCATGAATTTCGCAGCAACCTGGATGGAACTAGAGTCTATAATATGGAGTGATCTCTCATAGAAACGAAGGTCTGAGTATCACATGTTCTTACTCATGTAGTGAACCTTGAACATCTACCATAATACTATAAAAAAAGAACTGACAGTGGTGGGAAACTATGGGGGGGAGGGGAAGGGAGATGGGACTAACAGTAGTCAATATCTGTCTGGGGATGGGGAGACACCCTCTATTAACAAGGGTGCCTGAATGATGCACATTTGTATACCTAACCCTTAACTGTACCCCACAATTTTATAATAAAAAATGTTAAAAAATAAAAAGTGCGATTACTATTGCATTGTTATGGATCTTAAGACTCTCAACCTCTTTTTCGTGGATCTTCAAACTTATTCTATAGAATACTGAGTACTTACCCAATGCGTGTCAGGTACTATGGATTATACTGGAGATAAAGAGAAGCAACAAAATGAATGAAATAAACATTTATGTAGGATTAGAATATAGTAGTAGAAATACCAAATTCTTGCTGGTCTCTGAATAAACCTAATTCTTCCATGCTCCTGAGTGTTCCCTGCACTGTTCTGCCTGAAATTCTCATCGCCTCTTCCCCGCTGCACCGACACCTCCCCCCTCCAATCCCCATCGTGTTTCCTGGTAAATCTGGACAATTCTTATTCATCATTTGAGTTTGAGTTTGAATACCAACTGTTCTTTCCTCACTAGTTTTAGTTAGTAATTTATTCCTTTGTGCTCCCATAGTCTATTACACATACCTTTGTTATAATACATGCCGCACTGTATTGTATCACCTTATGTGTCTGTTCCTTCATTAGATTGATGGACATTCTAGAGATTTCCTCAGAGAGCCCATCATCCAAGAAGAAAAACACTTCAGGCTGAATCCACTCACCTTTGATTGCTGATACATATACCACAAGGTCCCAGACCTACAGCCAAGCAGTTCTATTGCTCATATCCCTGGTCTAACATTTCTACGGATGCACTACTGACTTTGGCCAGAGTTAGCTCCTCTGAGAATGGCCAGAGTGCTTCTTTGTCAGAAGGAATTTTTACTGATGGCAGACTGCTAGAAATTTATTAATCCCACCTTCTATACCATAATTATGTTTGCGTCTGTTTTCTACTTGAAACCCTTAATCAAGATCACATTTGTCTAAAGCAAAAATAACTGCAAATCAGAATTCTTCTTGGAATCTTATGGCCAGATCATCTCAAATCAATGTCTCACCTAGATTCTATTCCTTAGCGTGAGTTCTGCATATCCAAATGTGTTCAGGATGTCTC